AACCCTGAACCCTCAACCCCAAAGCCAGCTCTCGACCCGGAAGTAGGAACCTGAGCCCTAAGGATTCCTTAACCCCCCCCCCTCCCCCTAAACCCCAAAACCTAAAACCCTAAAATCCTAAACCCTAAAACCCTAAAGCCCTAAAGCCCTGAAACCCTGAAACCCTAAAGCCCTGACACCCTAAACCCTAAACCCTAAAACCCTAAAACCTAAACCCCTCAACCCAAAACAGCAGTAACCAGAGACCCGCCTGCCGCAAGGGCTTGAGATCTTGTGGGCTGGGCTTTAGGGTTTAGGGTTTAGGGTTTAGGGTTCAAGGGTTTGGGGTTTGGGGTTTGGGGTTTAGGGTTTAGGGTTTAGGGTTCAATGGTTTGGGGTTTGGGGTTTAGGGTTTGGGGCTTAGGGTTTAGGGGTTTGGGGATTTGGGGTTGGCGGCTAGAAGTTTTAAGGGTTTAGGCTTCTCGGGCTTATAGTTTAGGTTTTGTGCTTCGATGGAAACCGAGAGTGAAGTCGAAGAAGATGCTTTGGCATGTTTCCGAAAGCGGCTTAGGGTTATAGCAGACGCCCAAAAGTTGGAAACCCAATAGCCTCAATCCTTAAGAGTAAAGTATAGGGAATCCCAGCACTAATTCTCCCTAATCCGGTTTCCAACTTTCTGGGGTTCACTGTAGTTAGGTTTAAGGTCCAGGTCTTAGCGCCTTCAGGCTCAGCCCAAGTGACTCTGTCGCCTGCAGGCAATCCGCACAATCTGCAAACACCTCTTCAGTGAGATACATCTCTTTGACATGTGGGTGGACGATCTCAACGATCATCATGGCCCAGATCGTCATTATGACCTCGGCTGACTTCTGAACCCCTCCAAGAAGTTAAACTTTTAGTCTCCTGATTATGTTTCATATAGAAACCCGAAAAGTTAAACTTTTAGTCTCCTAACTATATTTCATATAGAAACCCAAAAAATTTAAAGTCCTAAGAGTCAACCAGAAGAACACTAAGTGACGAAGCAGAAGAGGAAGGACCAAGCCAGAGCTTTCATGCAGGTCGTGAGCATGATGACCAGCTTCCTCTCTTCTTCAACAACCAGGCCCAAAAAAGTTTAGGGTTTAGGGTTTAGGATAGACCTAATATATAAGGCCAAAAAGCTTAACGTTCTCCCATTGGCTATCCAAGCTTCTGCAATTCTTTGAGGGAGCGGCTCTTTCGCAGCAGGTTCATCAGTCGCACAATTCGGGCCAAGCGCAATACACGGAGCGTGCCCAAAGAGTCTGCCAAGTCTCCTCCATATGCAAGTCTCAGCATGACCAACTCCACATAGCCACAAAGGACGATCACTATATCAAGCACAATCATCCAGTCTTTTAAAGCCCATAGGCCTTTGACAGTCAATACGAGAAGCAGCTCGGCAGTGTAGCAATACAGGCACATTTCTGACAGGGTCCCGACAATGGGCGGAGAAGCCCGCTCGGCGGCTCGGGCATCAATATCTGCCGCAGTAAGAAGTGCATCGATAAGAACCACACCTGCCATCATGTTGGATATATAATCGCGCTTGACCAAGAATGCCACTCTTGCTCGTATCTTGCCCAAAAGAGGCAGGCCGCTATTCTCCGATAGCTTGGTGTCACTCCTTGGCAATTTCAGCGATCCTTTCCAACCCAAGTACGAGACGAACGTGCTGACCCATTCAAGGGCTGTAGCTGCTGAACAAGACTGGTAGCCCTAACTTGGAACAAGCTCTGTGGAGTTTATAAGCAACTCAAAGGGTCCACCATCTTTCTGTTGAGGAGTGAAGCAAAAATGGTAGTAGCAAGCCTCTAGTAAACCTTTGGCAAGGCCCGGTTTGACCGTCACAAACCGTGCCAAAACCTCTGTAACATCCTGACAGACCCTTATACGCCCTCCCGACTCCAAAACCCTTGACAATGTGACCCTAAATCCCTAAACCCTAAACCCATAAACCCTGAAACCCTAAAAGCTAACAACAGATCATCCAAGCCTCTCCATCTTTTGGAAGTTTCCCAAGGCCACGACGCTTCCACGCCTCTTACCATTCCCCTCTCCAGAGGCTGACATAGTATCAGCGCTGGTTCTGGGCCGGAGGGAGTCAAAAGGATTGTGGTACGAAGGTTTAGGGTTTAGGGTTTAGGGCGGAGTTAAGATGGGTTAAGGGTTTAAGGCGGGCAGCCTTGGTAGTGCCAGCAGGAACATCTGTCTATGAGCCTCTTGTGCTCCCTCGCAAGTTGCCAATTTCATCTTCAGTCTCATTCGCCGATACCGCGAGAAGGGATCAGAAGTTTTTCGCCGTAACAGGGCTATTTACGCCTTGTACATCGCTTGCGCTTAGGCTTAAACACTACAGACCACACAAAATCATAAGACCCCAATTCCAACACTGTTTACAGCAGAGTTGCTACCATATAACGTCGCTGATTAAGATGTTTGTCCTTTGCTCTAAAGAATAGGCTTGTGCCTCAACATGCCTTAAAGATATACTCAACATCGTAACCGCAAACCCGAAACCCTCATCTTTCTCATACCAAACGAGAAAAACCCTAAACCCTCGAACCCTGAACCAGAACCCTAGACCCTAAACCCTAAACCCCTAAACCCTAAACCCTAAACCAAAGACCCTATACCCTAAGACCTAGGGCCCTATACCCTAAGACCTAGGGCCCTA